CGCGGATGCCGGAGGCCGGCTTGGGCGTCCGCGTGGAGACGATCTGACAGTGGACGGTGCCCAGCAGCAGCATGAGCCAGATGGCGCCGAACACCTCGGTGGCGGGGATCCCGTGAGGCTGCGGCACGGTCGCGTAGAGGAGGGCCGCCACCACTGCGGACGGGGTGCAGGTTTTTTTTCAACAATGATTTGGTCTTTTTGTATATTTTTTTGTGTATTAAAAAAAAAAAAAAATCAACAAAAAAAAACATGTTGCACTGTGTCATATATATATGTTTTTAATCTATAGTGATTGTTGTCGCCAAAGCGTCACGTCTCGCGGTCTGCCGCGAGATGACTTTGCTTCCGGGCCGCTGACTGACTAAAAAGAACCTTGATGGGACACGGACCTTGCAACAGGTAGAGAGCCAGCAGCAAGAGGAAGATCGCTCGGGAGGTGACCTGGATCCACCAGCGATAGAAGAAGGGGAAGAAGACGACGCGGACGATGCCCTTGCGAGTCAGCGAGGTCCACGGGCTCTCCGGTTTGGCCTTGGCAAAGGCGGAGCCTGTCGGAGGGACGCCGAGAAGTGATTGCGTGGTCGTCGTCATCATCATCATCATCATGAGTGGACTCTCACCTCTAACCAGGTCCACATCGATGAGGTCTGGCTTGACGTGACCCGTCTTCTTTGGCTTGTTCCTCAGGCCCTGAAAGCCGGAACGCAAAATGAGTCAATTAGGGCGACCTTTATTTGGGAGGCACACCGTGCGTTCTACAAGCTCCACTTGCATCGCTACTGAACTACGTGCGCCAAGGTGCACAAACTGAACCGACACCACGAGATGCTGCCTGAACTCTCTTCAATTTGTTCCTTTTTTTTATTTTTTTCTTTTTTTTTTAAGAGCGACAATGTTGGCCTGCCCGCCGTGTCACACACGCTGCAACTATGCCATGAGGTAGGGCTGAACCATTTTGAAAAAGAAGCTAATTTTTTGGGAGGGGGGAGTGACACGCATCTACCAAGCCACACCGCCGGGCAGGTGTTGGGAATGAGAAGCAGAATGTCACGCAGACAAATCAAACACATCTCACATGCATATCTATATCCTCGTATGCATCTCATCATACCTGCATTTGTAACTGCAGGCGAGAGTTTCTTTATTGTGGTCAATTACACACGAGCTCTCGCTCGCTCGTAGAACGACTTCGAGGGTGGCACCGGTCCACTTCAGGCCAATCCAAACAAGGAGATCGATAGCTCCTCGTTGGCAGGAGATTTATCGTTGGCACTACAGTTCAAAACAAACAGCCCGCACGTGTTCTTATCTGCGGGCTATTCGCGGCTTCTTATCTTTATAACGGCCGCCGAGCCGCGTCAAAAACATCTCCCGAGTCGACCGGGAGACTGTCAAGTGGTGCGCAAGCGTGGGGTTATAACACACCAAACACAGGCCGGCCCGTATTTGAGACGGACCCCAAATCACGGTGCCGCTAGTCTACGCCGCGGGTGGGCGGACATGCGCTGTGCTCGCTGCCGCTGAATACTCACCAGCGATATAAACTGAAGACGAGGACGATTGACAGGGAGGATGGGTGAAGATGAAGAGGAGGAAGTGGGGCAGAAAGGAAATGGTTAAAAAAAAAAAAAAAGAAAGGAAAACACCGGACAAAAGGGTGGTGATGGGGGAGGGAGCAAGACAGAACTGAAAGAAACAGGAAAAAACAAATACAAATGAAGGCGGCGCGGGGCCCCCAAAAATGGAGAGAACGGCACCTTTATTTCCCGCTGCTCCACCGACTTCTCCCATATCTGCTGGTCGTAGGCGCCAATCTGCACACGTGCAACCACACAGATGAGAAAGCACTCGTGAAAAGAACTTTAGCGGCAAATCAATCGATCAAAATGAGATGCGCGAAAATTGCTGAGGGCCCCCCCCACCACTCGTATGCCTATACAAGGTCAACTTCAAATTCAACAGAACATTTCAAGTCCATCCTGGAATGTCACTCCAAATCCTGAAATTCCAAACACTTATGCATACATTTATTATCCAGAAAACAAGTGGCCGAAGCCCGAGGGAGCAAACAAACTGGAAGGAATTTGGGTCAGACAGCACGTTGTGGCCTGAAGATTAACCCCTGCTTTGTTTCCCCGTGTGATCACGGCAACGCACGTGTGTGTGTGTGTGACCTATTTTCAGTACGGACAGTTGCGTCCGTGTGTGTCGGAGCAAAGCGGCCCACGTGAACTGGTGAAATAGATCCAGTCAAGAACAAGCTGTCAATCGTCACGGTGGAATTTTTCCAATCATTCAGGTCTCTGCCGGCATTTCAGCCAATTGACGCGTGTTCGTTCAATCTAAAAATAAGACGTTGGAACCTCGGATTACATATGTGGGTCACATAACAAATCTTCCATCGGGTTCGCCATTTATTTCCTCAGATGGGGGTTTTCCCACGACACCGCTCCGGTTACGGAAGGTGAGCGCGCATGTAGGCTAGCACGGCAAAGTTGCTTATCAGGCGCAGCAAACCTGAGCGCTCTCCCGAGGTTGCCATTTTTGGGCAACAATTCGGGGTGGGCCAATGTCAGTTTCGGGTTGCTTGCTCTTCAGGCCTTTTCGCACTGCGCTTGGGTTTCTTGGGGCTCGCCGAGGGGCA